ATAATAACAATACCTTGTTGTACACTCTTATTGCCAATCCACAACGTGACACAACCGCGCCGTACGGCAATGAATATGTCATTGACATGAGGTGTGGCGGGGCGGGGCGGGGCGGGGCGTGGCACAGACAGACCAACCGTCCCGCCGAATGTCTCGCGCCGAAACGTGTCGCGGTGCGATTCCCTCGTGACTGGTGAGCAGGAGGCCGTCATTGAGCTAAGCGCATTGGGTGCTGCTTTAAGTATTGGCAGCTCACGGGCTCGGCCTCTATCGGCAGCCCTGAACCCACCACCACGACGCCGCCACTAGCCTTACATTTGACTATTAACACTTTTCGTGCGGGGCCCTTTTTAAGCGCATCTACCCACAGGCGGAGGGCCTTTTTTTTTTTTTTCGAAAAAATGTTTTTTGCTCTAAAACCTAATAGAATACACACGGAAAGTGTTAATAAGAATCGGTAACCACAAAAATCGGTCTGCTCCATCACCGTTGCGTGCTTACGTCACGGGAGAAAGCCCGTGCAGCCCGCGCGGAGGAGGTGGTGCTGGTGTGTGATTATTATTGCGATGAGAAAGGTCGCGGCCCCGCGGCTCCTCTCCTCGCGCCCGGCCCGCCCCTCTCGGCCCGGGGTGCCGCCGCGGCGCGTCCGCGTCCGGCCGGAAGCCGAGTCATTAACAGGTGCCTCCCCCCCCCCCTCCTCTATAATAGGTCGCCTGCTGGCGCTGCGCCGCAAGGGACACAGGCACACGGCGGCGGCGGCCGTGCGCCGGGCGGCGTTCATCGCGAAATAAAAACACACGAGGGTAACCGGCACGGAGCCGTGCCGCGCCGTGCTTACAAGTAAGTGCGACGTGGGCCCACGTGCTGCTGCGGCTGGGTGTTGTTTGTCGTGCCGCTCCGGGCGAACGAGCACGAGGCGCTCGCTGCACGCCCCGGCGCGGCACTGGGGGAGGCTGCTGGGGGAGGCTGCTGGGGCTGCGGCTGGTGCTACAGCAGCTGTGGCTGGTGATGGTGCGGCTGGTGCTGCTGCGGCTGGTGTGGATGGTGCTGCTGCGGCTGCAGCGCCGGCTTATCTAAAGGGCGCTATCAGCCGGGCGGGGCCCCCGCGGCGGCGTTGCGACAGCCCACCCCGCGCGACAACTGTCTTCGTACAACACGCCCTGCTTTTCAGTGTTTTGATGCGGCGGCTCATCTGGCCTGGCGACACTATGCAGCAGCAGCGGAGTGTTTCCGTGCAGCGGTGGCCTGACCCCTTTGTGTAGAAGACCCCTGCCCTCCAAAATTCTCCGTCGGCCGGGCTTCTCGGAGGGAAGCTTACACGACGGGTCCATGCCTCTACGGAAATGCGTGGACCACATACTGACTCAATATTAGCCACAATGATGTGATAAGGAAAAATGTCCGGACGGATATGACTGGTAGGAGTAGGAGCCCTTCTGACTGGACAACAAGAGTGACGTAGCCCTCGGAAGTTTAGCGAACCCGACGGCGGCGGCCAACTCTGCCTGCGGGCACGTCTGTCTGATGTGATCGATCGGGGGAGACACTTTAAAAAACACAACACAGCCAATAATGGGAGAGTGTGTTCTCGATAGGGATCTCTCTCGCCCTCTCTTTTGTCTCCCTCTTGCCTATGGATCGCTTTTGTGTGCCGCGCTTGGCTTGGCTCTCCCTTCCTTCTCTCGGTATAGGCAAAGTGGTGGCGGTCGTGTGGCTGTGGTGGCGCGCGCTGTATCTATGGGAGCGATGTGATAACCGCCCGAGAAAGTGAGTCGTTCTCTCCCACCTCCATACGAACGGACGGATGTGGGAGGGAATTCACTCACACTCACACTGGCACTGTGTGGCGCCATTGCGAGTAATGATGACTGACTGGTCTCGCCAGAACAGGACTCACGACGCGAAGAGGAAAGCTGCGCGCCTGCCCGCCGCGCCGCCGAAGCGCCATGCCGCTAGCTGCCTTCGTTCCCTTTTGTGAGGTATTGGATCGAAGGAGAAGCTTTGCGGCCAGACCGACATAACGACGCGCGCGACGTCATCTAAGACGCACTCAACTGGTTCTGCTCTACTTGTACGGGCGGACGCGGACGACACTCCTCTTCTCGACGCAACGACCGGACAGATCGATTGGTCGACGGACGGACGAACGGACGGACGGATGCTCGAAAGACGCACTGACTGGCTACTTATTGCCGCTGTTGTTTACTTCAAAGCGGGTAGTAGCGCGGCCGGATGGGTCGGCCTATTGCGTCCAGCCAGTGGCCTGTGGACGCCAGGCCT